TAACCATGTAATATATAACTATTCTTGATGAACAAAAACTCCATCAAAATTCTTTCTTATTCATAAGGTTGAAATATATTCGCTGTACAGCAACAAAAACTCCATCAAAATTCTTTCTTGTTCATAAGGTCAAAATATATTCACTGTACAGCAAATTAAACTGGAAAGTGAAATACTAAGAAATATGAAGAGGTTAATAAATATCCCCCTGCATTGGGAATATTTTAAAAGCAGGCAGAACTTAAATTCTGATAGTATATTTCTCTCGGAAATATCATGTGGAACATTTTTATAGTCTTTGGCTTTTCATGCAATTGCTGCATGCCAAAGTAATAGAAGTATTTCCGGCACGAAAATTTCAATAGTCTTAATATTTCTTGTGAAAATCAAGACCTGAGAAAAAAATTGTTGTCTTGAACTGCTGTAGATCACAGTCTGCTTGGAGTTACTACAAGTCTGGTACAACATCAGACCTTAGCCCTCGTGTATTTTTCTAGAGTTTATCTACTTCAAATTATATATTGTGCCAGTATGGTTTAATGTGGTGGGGGTTTTTTGATTGCTTACTCCTCTATCCTTTCATTACAATGACTACAGTCAAATGCTCCAGGTGGAGTGGAACTGTTGTGTTTTCATGTAATTCAGATTGCTATCTTAGTAGGTCAGAAATCTTTGTAAGGACCTGTGCCCTAACAACACACCTTCTGCTGGAGCAGCTTGACCTCAAGTACTGTGTGCAATTTTGAGCACCACAGTATGAGATGCATATAAAGCTACTGGAGAGCATCCAAAAAAGGGCCATGAAGATGGTGAAGGATCCAGAGGGAAAGCCATATGAGGAGCAGCTGAGGTCACTTTTCAGCCTGGAGAAGAGGAGACTGAGGGGAGACCTCATCAAGATCAAGATTCCTCACAAGGAATGGGCAGAGGGACAAGCTTTTCTCACTGATGATCAGTGATAGGACCCAAGGGAATGGCACGAAGCTGTGTCAGGGGAGGTTTGGGTTGGATATTAGGATAGGGTTCTTCACCCAGAGCTTAGTCTGACACTGGAACAGGCTCCAGGGGAAAGTGGTCAGAGCACCCAGACTGTCAAAGTCAGGCTCCAGGGGAAAGTGGTCAGAGCATCCAGACTGTCAAAGTTCAAAAAGAATTTGGACTATGCTCTCAGGCACATGGTGTGATTTTTTGGGCTGTCCTGTGCAGGGCCAGGACTTGGATTCAATGGCCATCGTGGGTTTCTTACAACTCAGCACATTCTACAGTTCTGACTGATGGAGTCAGTGTAACTTATGTTTTTTTCTTGGAGTTTTACTGGCATTGGGAGAGACCTGGATTGGAAGCAAAGTTAAAGGAACAGACCACCTAAACCCATCTGCCTTTCACCCTAATTAATGCTATTTGGACACACCTTCTAAAAGACATTTTAAGCAGCAGGTAATGTTTCTGGGCATCTGCTGAAGAGGATTAGAAATTGAATTACTTTGGTTGTTATTTTTGCTTTCTGTCAGTTATCACTGGAAGTTCATCAGTTATCACTAAAACTTCTTTGTTAATAGAAAATTGAATCCTCTGCAAAGCACCAAGCTGTTCCTTTCTTCTTCGTTTAATGAAGGTAAGTGTTCTGAGTGAATTCCTGTAGTAACACTCAGCAAGTGACTTCTTTTAGTCCATTATTTCTGTACATGGTCGTTGATGCTTGGGATTGTGTGCACTAACAATTTCTCTTTCAGAGCTAACAATGGTAATAGCACATAAAGTGCAATGGACAAAGCTTAAAATGGAAACATCTGTTGCT